AAAGAAGCTTTATCTTCACATGACTCCATTTTTTGTAAAGAGGTTGTAAATGATGAAATGAAATCGTTGATTTCTAATAAAACTTGGAAGTTAGTTGATTTACCACCGGGTTGCAAAACAATTGGTTGCAAATGGGTCTTAAGAAAAAAGTTGAAACTGGATGGATCTATTGATAAATATAAGGCTAGACTAGTTGCAAAAGGTTTTAAACAACTAGAAGGCCTAGAATTTTTTGATACTTTTTCACCGGTAACAAGAATTACATCCATAAGACTTTTAAGTGCTATGACTGCAATTTTTTATTTGCAAATTCATCAAATGGATGTAAAATCTGCTTTTTTAAATGGAGATTTAAATGTGAAAATTTATATGGAGCAACCCGAGTATTTTGTCAAAGCAGGCCAAGAAAGCAAAGTATGTAAGCTTACTAAATCCATATATGGCTTGAAACAGGCACCTAAGCAATGACATGAAAAGTTTGATCCCTGCATAATTGGAAATGGTTTTAAAATAAAGAGTGTGATAAGTGCATATATCATAAGTCTTGGAATAATTCACATGTGATTATTTGCCTATATGTTGATGATTTGTTGATCTTTGGCTCTAACATGAATGTTATTGATGAAGCTAAGAATATTCTTAGAAGCCATTTTGATATGAAGGATCACGGTGAGGCAAATTTTATTCTTGGAATAAAAATAACAAGAACATGTGATGGAATTTTCCTTGACCAGTCACATTATGTTGAGAAAATTTTGAAAAAATACAACTTTCTTGATTGCAAGCATGTTGCTACTCCTTTTGATTCAAGTGTTCACTTATTTCCTGTTGAAAGTGAAAATGATGTAATAAATCAAAAGGAATATGCTAGCATAATCGAAAGTTTGAGATATGTGACTGATTGCACTAGGTCTGATATTGCATATGCAGTAGGAGTACTTGGCAGGTTTACAAGCAAGCCAGGTAATGAACATTGGCATGTTGTAACAAGAGTTATGAGATATTGAATTGGAAAGAAAAATTGTGGATTGTTCTATAAAACATATCCTGCTGTACTTGAAGGCTTTTGTGATGCAGATTGTAATACTTTATCAGGTGATTCCTGTTCTACCACTGGTTATGTCTTTACTTTGGGTGGTGGTGCTATTTGTTGGAGATCAAAAAAACAAACTATAATTGCTAACTCTACCATGGAGGCTGAACTAATTGCTTTAGCTTTAGCTAGTGAGTAAGCGAATTGGTTAAGAGATTTATTGTTTCAAATTCCTTAGTTTGAAAAACCAATTCCTCCTATTTTAATTCATTGTGATAGCACTGCTGCGATTGGTAGAGTTCAAAATTGTTATTACAACAGTAAAGGAGGAAACACAGTAGTGTAAGATCATATTTGACAAATGGTACCATTAATGTTGATTATGTCAAATCTTGTGAGAATCTTGCAGATCCTCTTACTAAGGCCTTAACGAGAGATAAGGTCTGGAGCACATCGAGGGGGTGGGATTGAAGCCTATAAATCCTTGAGTCATATATGAGGAAACCCAACCTGGGGAGGAGGTGGTGGAGCAGGGTAGGAAAACAATTTAAATTTATTTATTTTTAAAATATTTTTTTTGAGATAATAATACCTTAATCTTTAATTAATATTAATAGCTTATTATTAAAGTTTTGTCGAGAAGGAATATTTTAACATGGGGGTTATGCATCAGTACATGGCTATGCCTAACAAACTTATCAGTTCAACTTGTATAAAGAATACCTCTTTAATGAGCAGAACCAGAATTAAATTAATTTTTTAATAGATATTAAAAATATTTTCTTTTTTAAAAATAATTTAATACTAAAGTACATTGATACTTGCATTTTTTCCCCATAATTTGACTCTCAAAAGCACTTTTAACAAATATTTATCAAACACAATTTGCTTATGAAAATCACTTTTCAAATGAATTAGACAAACACAATTTTTTTTTTCAAAAGTAATTTTTTGAAAAGCTATTTTTATAAAGTCAATTTAAAAATAAGTAATTTTTAGCAGCAATGTCAAACTGACTCGTAATCTAACAAAGGTATGAGAGTGGGGGCTTGAGGATGTGATATTCAAGGAGTATGCATTGGGGGCGTTAGGTGGATAGGGATGATATAATAAATATACAATATTGTTTATAGAACTTATTTTTTCAACCTTTCGTTAAATAAGTCATTTTTCTTATTTTTTTAATAACTTATCTTTCTAAATAAATTAATATTTTTCTCCATACCATAGGGCAAACACACTTAATTGTGGATTTATTTGATATTTTCCTCTAAAGTTTTAGCTGAACTAGAAAACACGCCATTAGGCTCCTTGCTAGTTTCACTCCAACACATACCTAGGAAAGCGTATGACTGAACGTATATTCGATTTGGACGCTGCTATTTAATTTGTATCCGTGTTTAATATAGTTTTCACACGGTTACTCATTTCAAATAATTTTAGATATATGGTATTTGAAATTTGTTTTGACAAAGCTAACTTCAAACGTAATATTTAAAATTTTATATGATTGAAGTTTAATTATTTTTATCAAACTTATGTTATTCTATCCGAAGTTCATACACATATAACTAACATCACATCAATACAAAAATAATTAAACTATTTTTTACAATATTAATTATAAATATATGTTTATTAATTAATATATTCTCAAATAATATATATCTTAAATACCTAATTTAGTATCATTTATAAAGGCTTTTGTCTATCATATAGTAACTTTAAATTCTACCAACTCCACCTAACTTTCGGCGTCCAATTTTTTTTCTTGTTTTGTGTTAGATATATATACATTTCAAAACTATATTTTACTTGCCGCCACAAGACATTTTTTAAAATATAATTTTTATTTATGTTATATTCGGTACATAAGTAGAAAAACATTCCTAAAAATATATGTACATATCTAACACAAAACGAGAAAAATGTAAATAAATAAATAAATAAATATATTAGGAGTGGAGGGTTAAATAGGATGTGATAGAATTTTATTTTAAAAAATAAAATTATATCAATTTTTTTGGGGGGAGGGGGATTTGATTGGGTGGTTTGGTGGGGGAGGGGGGGGGAGAGGATGAAGAACGATTTTTTTTAAATAAAAAGAACGGGGGATGGAGGGGGGGGGGGGAGTAGGTGGTGGAACGGGGTAGGAAAAACAATTTAAAATTTATTTTTTAAAAAAATAATTTTTTTTTGGGATAGTAATACTTTAATCTTTAATTTTTAATTAATATTAATAGTTTATTATTTAAGTTTTGTCAAGAAGGAATATTTTATTCAAGTGGAAGGTGCACTACACACCACTGAGGTATGTTTCTCAAACTAATAAGTGATAGTTTAGGTTTGAAATTGACACTCTCAATAATTTAGGTATGAAACTCAAAAAGGGGATAGCTTAAGTGTTTTTTTTACACTTATCTCTATTTTAATTGATTTTTTTTACTCGATACAAAGTGTAAAAAACAATTTTATTTTGTAATTTGTTGTTTAAAATAATTATAGATAATTTATGGTTATAAATTATTTCATCAAAGATAAAAATTAAAATGTTAAAGTAAAATTATTTCAAAATATAGAAAAGTGATATTTTATGACGATGGACTAAAAATAGTTACATAAATGTGTTCTTTAACTTGATCTCAGTTAGCATCTATGCTCTCTAAATTTGAGCATGTACTAGTAGACACTTAAACTTGTTTAAACAAATAGACACATGTATTCTACATAGCATAATACACGAATTGCTCGTTGCTTGGATGCCCTGCCTACTATACGAATATATATGTATACCAGTTACATATATACAATCATTTGACAGATATACATATACAATTCGCCTCTCTCCACTATCTGCCCTCTCTCACTCGCCTCTTTCTTCCCTCTAACATGTAGCTGCGAATTAAAAGTAGCAAACTATAGCTATGAAGTATAATTAAGTTATTTTTGAGTGGCTATATGCGAAAATTCTCCTTTAAATAATCCCTCCCTCAACAATATTACGTAATTTGATCAGATTTCATTATAAAATTTGAAAATTTAACTTTTATTTTCGTAGTAAAAATATATATTTTATTAATTACTTACTAGAAAAGCAACACCACCATCGTTTAAGGCAAAACTAATTACTAAAGAAATAATATAAATTGGCCGCCTTATTTTATCTCTTCCATGTGGGGGTGATGTTTAATTAGTTCTGCTTAATTTGAATTGCAATGAAATTGAAAAGTTGACTTTGAATACAATAGCTGATCGACTCAGTCGTCCCCATGTTAATTGATTTCAAAGTGCCTACATAATTTGTGGATCACTTGATTTATTATTGTTGACTCGATGTTACGTAATCAGTGATAAATATTTTGAAATTCGTGATGTTAAGTTATTGAATTCTAACTATAAGTATATATTAAATATTTTTTTAAAAATAAATATAAAATTTGAATCAAAATTATTTGGTTCAAATAAATTATGCACTCTAGCTTCACCGTAATGTATATACCACCAAGATATAAAATGTATCGATAAACTGAAATCATGCTATTTTAACCAACTAAATTGCACTCCCTCTATCTTATATTTTAATTGATGTTGTTTGCCTCGATACAAAGTGTAAAAATAATAAAAAAAGATTTTTGTAATTTGTAGTTTAAAATAATTATAGACATAGTTTTAAATTATTCCATTAAAGATAAAAAAGTTAAATTATTTGAGAACATAGAAATGTGATATTTTTTTTATGACTAACCAAAAAAAATACATAAATGTGCTATTTAACTTGATCTCAGTTTGCATCTATGCTCTCTAATTTTAAGTGTGTATAAGTTGATACTTAAACTTGTTAACACATATATTCTATGTGACATAATACACCTGGAACGCCACGTAGGACACGAATTGCTCGTTGCCTGGATGCCCTGCCTACTATATAAGTATTGAACACCTATCTACATCAAACTCAAAAGGAAATATGGCAGCATCAAGGCTTTTATCTTTTGGTGAAAAGATTATTAAGCCTAATTGTCCTACCCCTTTTTCACTTGGGCGTTACAATCTTTCTGTAATTGATCAAATCATGTTTCCAGTCTACATGCCAATTGCAGCGTTTTATCCTTTCCCCTCAAAAACACCACAACAAGTATCCAACATTATTGAAAAATCACTATCCAAAGTTTTGTCGTCTTACTATCCATTTGCTGGAACACTCAGAGATAACACTTTCGTCGATTGCAATGACAGGGGAGCCAAATTTATGAACGTTCGATACGATTGTCCAATGTCTGAGATCGTCAATCTTCCCGACATTGGCCCTGAATATCTACCCTTTCCTAAAGGTGTACCTTGGGGTCGAACTTCAGACGAGAAAAGTTTACTTTTTGTTCAATTAAGCCATTTTAATTGCGGCGGATTAGCTATAAGTGCTAGCCTATCACACAAAATTGCTGATGGATGCACACTCGCCAATTTTATTAGTGATTGGGCTTCTATAGCTTGTGATCACAACGCGAATATACCGTCCCTTCAAATGATCGGATCGTCCATTTTTTCATCATTCACTAACATGTCATCCACTGAAAGTCACATGGATACTGTGGTTGATGAAATTGACAATCAACCCCTTAGTAGAAAAAGGTATGTATTTTTCAATTCTAAACTCGAGAAGCTGAAAACTCAAGTGGAATCAGAAACAGGGGTGCAAAATCCAACCCGACTTGAAGTGTTGTCCGCACTAATTTACAAGTGTGCTGCAACAGCAGCTCGAGCAAACTCGAGCTCCTTTAAACCATCCATGTTAGTACTAGCTGTGAATGTACGTCCAATATTGGATCCACCACTACCAACACGGGCAATAGGGAATATTCTTACTATGATCAAAGTGACAGCAATGAGTGAGGATGAAATGACAATTGCCAAAGTGGTTCGCGAGATAAGAAAAGCTAAAGATGAATTGAAGAAGGAGGACCAAGTGAAGGAAAGCAAGGTGATGTCGCTTTGGTCTGAGTTGTCATCGATGGGTAATGAATTTGAATTGTATAGAAGTACCAGTGTTTGCAATTACCCATTGAATAACTTGGATTTTGGATGGGGAAAGCCAAACATGGTAACAATTCCAGTAATTGGGATTGGAAACAGCTTCATTTTTATGGATAATCAAAGTGGAGATGGGATTGAGGCAATTGTTGCATTACCAGAAAAAAACGTGACTCGATTTGAGAATAGCAAAGAGCTCCTCGAGTTTGCTTCTCCAATTGCTAATCTTAATTAAATAGTACAACTCATGATTATGGAGTCGCCTTTACGATGAGAATTAGAAATAATAAGAAGATGAAACGTAACTGTTTCACAAATAGAATCATGTGGTTCAACCTCATTGCTGCTTTCATGGCTCCCATTGTGATTCCCTTTGCAGTTCATACCTTCACATGACCCTATATATCATATTTGACAAAAAAGAAAGAAAAGAAGTCAAAGTAATGATATATATAGTTGCTGAACTTTTGTAACGTCATGATGAATGGTTTGGGCAACTTACATAAATTTCATTAGTTTCAGAGTTAAGTTAATTACTTAGATACATTTTAGCTTGCAATATTATGGATCTTATAAGATTTTAGTGCCTCTAGATACATGGGGTCAAATTTAGGTGTAATTTGTTCTAGATATATTGTATCAAAGTGGATTCACATGTATCAGAGATACATAGTAAATCTTGCTCCCCTCCCTCACCTCTCTCCCATCTCGCTCGTCGCTCTCCCATGTATCTAGTATCCCAAAATACATGCGAATCATACTAGATACACTCTAGATACATGTATCAATTTGAAAATTGCAAGGTTCTAATATTGTTGTTTTTATCAACTTACATTTGACTTAAATTAGTTTTGAACTAATTAAAATAGCTAATTATGTCTATGGTCCGCTTGAATTGTTGGATTTTTATGTGACGTCAAGAAACATAAATGAAATCTCGATTTGTGCATCACACCTAAACATTGAGTCTACTTGTTTATTGAATCAAGTTTATTATTTTATTCAAAGTATTCAGATCAAGACGCATAAATGCGACCTTCTCATTTTATTTATATGTTCTTATGAGAGAAGCAAAGTTATAACCTTAAATGATATCTAAGTACATGATACCTCAGGGCATTCCTCGAAAAACAAAATCTCCTAATGTCTCAATTTATGTGACACATTTCAAATTTCGAGATTCAAACAAATAAATCTTTGACCGTAAATTTTTCATATATCTTTTAAATATTTTGAACTGTCAATTATTGTGACTTATAGTACTTTTTACGTAGTTTACAAATATATAAATCTCATTTTTAAAAATTTGAAGATTTCATGAGCAAATTCTCGATCAAACTTAAACTGTTTGACTCTCGAAAAACGAAATGTCTCACATAAATTGAGATAGAATGAGTACATAATATTTAAAATTCGGTAAAAGCCAAAAATTCAGGCGCACGCAATTGCATAAGACGAGATCGGATATTCATTCGAAACAGAGTAAATAAAATGAAATTAATGGTACTATTTGAGATGGTTGTGTAAAATTATTTGATGAGTTGAATACATTCAATTGCTTATTTCATCTTATAGTACATGATGTTTAACAAATAAACTCGAAAAATAGCTACAAGGAGGCTAATACCTAGCTAGAAAACGGCGTAGCTAATATTTACTTGGAATAGCTTCTAGCAAATCATGATCATAACTATATTAGCTAGGAATGACAAATTCTTCTACCTAGGGTCATTTTCCTATCCAAATAAACGTTAGCTAGAATTTTACCACTTTAGCTTTGGTTTGTGTCTCTAGCTATATATGGATTAATATCACATATAGTCGCTCAACTTTTGTAATGTATTTTATTTTTCGTGAGTAATTAAGCTTCAGAATTGGGTGGTCTTGGTATAGAAGCAGCATTTAGTGATAAGCTTATATCTCTCGGAAGAAGTCATCATATATAAATGATATATCATTCTCGATACATAAAATATTCCGTCAAAACTATATATATAAGTAGCAAGGTACTGGCACTCTCTAATTTTAAAAGTTTATGGATCACATTATTAAAATAAGAACGACCATAAGCCCAAATTTAATGCTATTATATCCTATCCAACAGATATCAACCACGTTCCCCAATGCATATTAATTAGTTAATTATCATAAATAGAAACAGTTGACTGACTAAGTCGTGACCATGTTCACTTCACTTAATTGGTGGATCAATAATTCACATATTACCCATTGAATAATTTGGATTTTGGATGGGGAAAGCCTAGCAGGGTAACAATTCCAGCAGTTGGGATTGGAAACATGTTCTTTTTTATGGATAATCAAAATGGGGATGGAATTGAGGTAATTGTTGCATTACCAGAAAAAGATGTGACTCAAGCAAGGAGCTTCTCCAGTTTGCTTCTCCAATTACTATTCTCAATTAAATAGGGCAACTACGATGCCTTGCATTGTGGAGTGTATATGTTTGTTATGATTTTCTAATAAAATAGTGTCTTTCATGATATATCTCACTTTATTTCAATTTATTTGTCCACCACGTACAATTCTTCTCTCCTTTCTCAACTCAAGGAAATTGTCAAACATGAAATGGAGATCAAGATTAGTAGAAGCTGAGCTAAAGTAATTGTCATGACCTTACTCATTGGGTCGTGTGAACACCAACTCTAACACCTAGATAGGAGAACCCTCAACCCCTTAAAGATCATGATATGCCGAAAATAAGTAAAGTGTAATCTAACACCCTATACAGATGTGAAAACATCTTTAATTGGTTTTAACTATTAAATATTTACAAGAGACTAACTAACATGCATCCTCAAGGAACTACTCTAAAGAGAGACTAAGAAAATACAACAACAAAGGAAATAAGACAAGACTCCCACCATGAGGAAAGAAGAGTAGAAGCTGTCGGGAACATCACCATCTTCACCTATGAAACATTATAGATTCTTGCAATCATATTATGCCAAGTGGCATAGTAAGAATAGTATCAATACGAACAACACATATTAGTAGGCAACATCGACTGATTCGAACCTACCACATAATATAATGCAATAAATCAAGAAACATGAACTTAAATATACTAAAACCCCGAACCATCATTTACCATACTTAATAGGAAAACACCTCTTGGAACCATAATTTCTACCTCAAGTTACCCCACCTCCTTCCACTCCAACTTCACCGACTAGGCTCCTCAAAGGCTTCCAAGGCCCACCTTGTATGACCCATAAAGCTTCCCAACCCTACCTGTTATACCACCCTAACATCATATCATAACCTAACCCTTCTATCATATAGAGATTTTTCGAACGTAAAACCATTACCAACTCTGTTAACCAACCTATTAATCTCCATCCAGTTCTCATGCCAACACCCTGGTCTTTGACCCAATTTAGTAAACCACATTCAAGACCTTTAACAAACCATCTTGACTCAAAACAATCATAAATATCCCAGCATTGAAACAATGCACCAAGCACCGATCATCAACATGACTTAGTAACCAACAACTTAGAAAAACGAGTAATACAATCATAATCACAAGTATAACACAACTTGGAATATCATTCCGTGCCCTAAATAGGAATGCACCACTACACACGAATACAACCAAGTAACTATAGTAAAATGACAGAGGCCAACACATATAACCACAACATAGCAACCACGTAGACTCCAGTCACAAATTTTTTGAATAACCAATGCATGAAACATGTCCCACATGATCACAAACACACACATTCGGTCTCTCATAGGATCACAAGTACACATAGTTGATCCTCTCATAGAAACACACACAAATTGTTAGTGTCCGGTGCGGTATTCAAGTCAAGCAGAGTTAGTATTCATATTAGGCGTGGTACCCAAGCCAATCATTAGTACTCATGTACCGACGTGGTACCCCAACCAACCAAAAACCACAAGCAACCATGCACAATTACAATCTCAATGAACAATAACACTTAAAATCATAAGCAACAACATCAGGTTAATTTATTGCATGAGATTATCAATATGATATCATTTCATATACTTCCCAATGTTTTCCCCAAACATGCAATGCATGAATGATACTATAAAGTAGTAGACATGCATACATTCATAATGAAAAATATACAACCATCACCTATCGAAAGGTAACCTAAAACCAATACTGATCATTCTAAACTTGCCCACAATTCCCTTCCTAGGCAACACCCAAACATGCCATAGAACAATCACCACTAGCTAATTCGCTACTATCAACTAACCATCTTATCCACAGGCTTAACCATCCAGATTTCATGCCCGAAGGCTTATACATGCAATCTCCAAAATTCACAAGATATAATGCAGTAGAAACGGGTCTAACTACTAAGTTTAAAGAAATTTAGCCTACCTGGGCATCAAGTGTCAACTGATGAATCTTTCCCATGGGCTTCCGACTCCGTGAGAGCAAATCGTAATGAAAGAGCACCAAATTCCCTTGGGCTTTCACATCCCTTGAGAGATAATATCTTCTTTTGAAGGATTTTTGAATCCCCGAGTGCCTTTGAAGGATTTTTGAAGCAGCCCTCATCTGTTTTCTCCCATCAAAAGTTAGAGGAAAAATAAGAGAAGTTGTATTTACTAGGGTCTGAATTTCCATCAGCCCGCTATAGCTGCCATGGGTGCTATAGTAGCACCACCATAGCAGGAGGTTTCCCGCTATGGTGGGCTAACGTCAGCCCAGCCATATTGGAAGTAGCTGTGAATTTACGTCCAATATTGGATCCACCACTACCAACACAGGCACGATGAGTGAGGATGAAATGGAGTGGTTCGTGAGCTAAAGATGGACTGAAGAAGGAGAGCGAGCTAGTGTCGATTTGTTCCGAGTGCACATCGATGTGTAATGAAATTGAATTGTACAAAGGTAGCAGTGTGTGCAATTACCCATTGAACAATTTGAAAGGAATATAATTAAGAATCGTATTCAATTGGTTCAAAGAGCACTTTTGATATGTGAAAGTTGAGTAGTTCCTCTGTGACATGTGCAATACAGTAAAAACTCTTTGCAACTGTCAAAAATGTATTCTTCATATCTTTATTTATTCCACACGACCAATTATCTAACATCAAGGAGCCGTTTGGTTATTGGTTAGAGTTATGCAGGTATTAGTTATACATGTATTAATTATGCAGGGTTTAGATATATAGGTATTAGTTATGTAGGTATTAGTTATGCATGTATTAGTTATGCAAGGTTTA